GGTTTCATGGGTTCAATACCTGTAGCTTTAATGTTTCAACACATTGTTTCTTATTGTGATTTGATTTGCCGTATGATAACTTACCTTAACTTTTACGGATAAGCCAGACAGTCATGAGATTTATTTGCATATTTGCTCCTGTGTGTTCTAATTGTGAAGAGATCTAGTCCTAGTTGTTATTAAACTTTGTTGGTTCATGCGATTTGTTTTGATTTCATTATGTTCAGTGAATCCCCTGATTGGGAGCGTCATAATTGAAGGTTGTTGATTTATTATTCTAATAGTATCTGTATTTACCGATCTTCATTGTAGCCTTTGGAATGTCCCGGTTTTCTCTTGAATATATCGAATATATCTAGTGTATTTAAATCTCGAAACTTCTATGTTCCGCTTTGTTATAACTCTGTTTGTTCTTACGGTTAATGACCCAGCTATTCCTATTGCTTAGTATTCTCGGACACCGATTCACTCGACAAGTCCCCAAATCAGAACACGGTTGAACAGGAAAAAGATTATATTCCAAATAGCAAGTCAGAAGCCAGTAGGAAGCACAATAGGGGAAAACGTCGGTATATTTATAGTTTTTACATAAGAAGATTCCAGAGTATTCTCCGACTATCGACCAGTGCTGATTGGATAAGAACCAGCCAATCAGCGTGCACCAAAACAATCATGCATTGAGGATGCTTTAATCTAGTCTATGTCCCGCTAACACCTCCCCTCTGAGCAGATTCGTAGGATCTGGTGCTAGGGTCCAACTGCAACTGAGTGACTGGCTTGTGCTTTCGATTAGACCATCATCTAGGCAATGAAGAATTATCACTTTTTCCTTGCACAGAGACTGACATGTCTGTTCCCGGCGTTTTGATTTTTCTTAAAAAAAAGTATGCATAACTTTTAATTCTCCAACATTCTCCTCCTCCGCGAAACAATGTCGGATCCTTATATCTCCAAGTTACAAATAATAGGACTTTATTTAAACGACGTTTCTCGCATTGAATGTCGGATCCACTAGAAACGACTAGATGATAATGAACGACCTTTGATTTGAGGTCAAAGTTTAATTCTTCTGAAGCATTACTTTCAAATCCATTAGGAATTTTATCAGTGGATAATGGATCATTACGGAAATCATCATCTAACAAAATTAAATTAGAATTTTGACCATAATTTGACTCAGCTGATATATTTTCCTGATTTTTATGAGAAATTTCATCAAAATAACATGCATTGTTCTGAGAACCCATGTCTGATACATTGTCATTAGAAATCGGATAAGCTGATTCAATATAAGTTTCTGTCTCACAATGATTTTGAGTAACATTCGGTATAATTGGGTTCATCGTGTCACTGCAGTTATTTTCTGAATACGAGTCCCCATAGCTTTCTTGGCTAATATCACGTGGACCATAAATTTGTTCTAGCTGAAAGTTATTTTCAGAGCTAGACAGGACCAGTAGTGCTTCATTCACTTCTGGACTCCGGGCTTCATCTACAGGGTCTGGCTCTTGATAATCTCGTATTGCCACAACTTTATGAGCATTCAGCACAGGATTTTCTTGCTGTGAGCCGGAAACGTTACAAATATTACGTTCTGATTCAGGTATAAAGGGATTTGAACCCTCCACTAGATATGCTTCTGAAATGTCTGTTACTGCATCATAAACAGATTTCTTATTTTCTGGTCGAGTGAAAAGTGTGTTCAATAGTTGTTGTTGCAAGGCTAACAACTTCTGCTGGTGCTGTAATATTAACCGCAACTGTTCTAAAGAAATCGCCATTTTTCTTTAGTTTTTCCCGTCGCCACTGTTATAAGTCTGTCTTTCTTCTTACGGTTAATGACCCAGCTATTCCTATTGCTTAGTATTCTCGGACACCGATTCACTCGACAAGTCCCCAAATCAGAACACGGTTGAACAGGAAAAAGATTATATTCCAAATAGCAAGTCAGAAGCCAGTAGGAAGCACAATAGGGGAAAACGTCGGTATATTTATAGTTTTTACATAAGAAGATTCCAGAGTATTCTCCGACTATCGACCAGTGCTGATTGGATAAGAACCAGCCAATCAGCGTGCACCAAAACAATCATGCATTGAGGATGCTTTAATCTAGTCTATGTCCCGCTAACACGCTTCTAAGCAAACATCTTTAACATTGCCTTTCCTATTCTTATCGATAACATCGTGAAGTTCGACTAAACGACCTTACTAATTTGCAAATTTCTACTGCTAAACTAAAATATGATTATAAACTAACTACTCTTTAGAGTTTTGTTGGCTGGAAGCACCACTTTCAGGCACCGTGTACGGCATTTTGCGTCCTTGGTATTACATTTAATGCCACCTTCTTGTGTACATGTTACCAACAATTAGTTAATCAGTCATACACAACATAGGACCTAGCGCGTATGTGCATTAGTCCGAGTTGGTACATCACACTAAGATGACGGTATGAAAATATCAGGACATCCCCGATAAGGGAAATAGTCATAGTATTAGTAGTAGAAACGACGAGAGGAGGCACGGGAAGGTTTTGAGGCTAAGGATGTAAAGGGTGACGAAAGGTAAATGCATTTGCGTGTCGCAGTTGATCCTGGGCAGTTTTATCCATCGTTTTCCACTAGTGGTTATGCTAAATTTGTAAACCCCAACCAGGTAGTCTACACCTATCTACATGAGTTGGTTCAATTATCAGTGACGTCATGGGCTGATGCCAAGTTTTAGTTTGGCAGCCTCTGTCTTTCATCTAACCTACTTCTAGACCAATGTTGCCCATCGAGGTAGGAGGCGGTTGGGCACACGTGACACGTCCTAACCATCTCAATTGATGAAGACACACCACTCCATTGACCAACTTACCATCTTCGTTTGCAACCTTAACTCTAACCTCAATATATTGTGTTTTCAACAATTACGTGCAGTGTTTCAAAGATACCTACGTAAGTCCTTCGTTGTTGGTGACGTTTCATATCTATAAGCTAGAATAGATCGAATCGCCACACACTATTCTGGTCCTTTAGTTGTGACATCGACTTCTGCTCAACGAGATAATTATTTATTAATTTATTCATGTATTTCGACTAGTTTCTGCCTCTGTGTAATTAAATTAATCTATCATACCTACCCATTTTCGTTACACCAACTTATTTTTATTTATTTACTTTTTGAATGGGGATTTGTGGAGATGGTAGTAATTTTGACAGTTAAATTCATGAGTCGATCTAAGCTAGATCACCACTGAAAGCCTGGAAGCACCGGATGGCTGTTTCGTCCTGGTCAGGGACTCCTCAGCAGCTTAGGTCGACTCACTAATTTAACTGTTAACATCACTACAATCTCCACGAATCCCTATTCTGATAAAAATCATGTGTTCATTAGTAACTATCTTCAAGATGAATTTCCTGAAATTCTAATGAGAAACCGTGACCAGTTGTGTCCAATCTGTGTCGGGTGTAAAACAGTTGTCCATCAGTAGATGTAGGGTTGCACAAGATCATGGGTTGGTTGAAGTTCATGCGCAAGACCGAAGGTTCCGGGCTCGAGTCCCCCTTGCGGAATCGTGGATGCGCACTTCTGAGGGGTCCCATACCAGGACGAAACGACCGTCTGATGCTTCCAGGTTTTCACTGGTGATCTAGTTTAGATGGACTCACGAATTCAGCTGCTCAAATTCATTTATTTGTTAAGGTCTTATCAATGAATGCGAGTATCTCAGTGTTATGGTTGTTAGGTAATATGTTTTCTTAGGGGGAATAATGTTACGTGGTTCTGATCTGTAGTAGATTCCAATAGTGCTAAAGTCTTTATCGTGTATGGTTAACATTTTATTGTGGTAGAGCGTTAAGGTAGTGGTATGGTTTTTTAAAGTGCGTAAGAAGATTAGGTTGGGAAAGACGTGTACAATTAATCTAATGTTTCTTGATAACCACGGCTGATCGATCACAAATCAGAAATGATATTCCGCTTTTTGAACACAAACCTGACGATCAACGTTTTAATTATGTTTCATCGAAATCATAAAACGACCAATGTTAGACCATCATTGAAGGCTTGGAAGGGCTGGACGATCGTTTCTTCCTAGTACGGCACCCCTCAGCAGTAAGCATCCAGGATCGTGCACGCGAACGCTTGACCTCTAAACCACTGAGCCAGCGTCCTACAGTGTTAATGTTTAACTTCAATCAATCCACGATTTCAATTATGCTCCTATCAGGTGAATAAGACCCTACCTTTCACTGTGTAAGTGGCTAAGAATCTTTGTTAGTCGATCAACTTTCAGGGACACAGAAATCTCGTATGTTCATGAACTCTATTCGTGCTCTTCCATTTTTCTATTTTTACCAACTAATTTTTACTTATTGTACACATTTCCAGTCACTGCTGTGTAGACGTTTACTTTCATCTTAAAATTACTAATCAACAGCATGTAGGTATCTGTTTTTCGTAGTTTAACCAAGAAGTGTCTCGTTCCTCTGTCGTAAGTTAATGGTACGAAAATTCATAGGTCACATTTTAACATATTATGGTCAGATCTGGTTTCACTGCGACTTGAGACTGATTTATTTAGTTATCTCTTTTTTGAAAACCTGAGTAGGATGTTTCGTTTATTTATTTATTTATTTGAACGCATAAATGTTGGTACAAAGGGGCACCGAATACATATGCGCCACACAAGTCACTTGATTTGTACGTGGGCTGTGATATTACCCGGGTGCCCAGACCGAAGCAGGTGGCTTTCTTAGAGGACCACACCTGGAGCCTCCGACCCAAAGATCTGATCCCCAAGGCAGTGGAACAACGTAAGGATATGCAGTCCCATGGTAGCCGGCTACCAGTAATTGGTTCACACACCATCTGTTCCTTCAGGATCCTGGAGCCCATGTGCGCCATTTGTTTGGAATCAGGGTTTCCCAACTCCTCTAGGTGAATCCCCCGTGTCCACCAACCCGGCTAAAGCGCCGAACATTCAATTTTCGTCCTCTCAACTTCGTAAACAACACCCCTGCCGCGAGAAGGTAGTGAGTAGGACTTCCCTGACAGAGGCCGTATACGCGTCGCCATGTGAGAGCATTTTGAGAAGAGCTGACTCTCCTCACCCTCAGCCGTACCAAGAAATTTAGGGGCAGGATGTTTTTTACAATCTAACTGGCAGACTTATAGTTTTGTCGTTAGACGCAACCGAACCCATCTACGTCAATGCGATGTTAACCTATGTAAAAATAGGTTGGAAGAAGGCTAGTAGCGGTCAGACCAAAATGTGGCATCAGTCTATGAAGTCACTGACAATTGAACTGAGCCATGTAGGTAGGTATAGAATATATGGTCGTGACAGCGTGATTATCGTAACTAGTAGTTAGAGACTTTGAATGTCGTTGGCAAAATCGTTTGCAAGGGCGCATATAGATTTACTCTTTGTCTTCCCCTGAGTTTCAGGTTTCTAAATTCCTCATAATCTTTTTATTTCACTAACTTACATTTTCTTCGTCTTTTTGTAGAGTCCATGTTTCCAAATTCCTCAACCATTTTCTCACTATTTGTGTTGTGTTTTCTTGAATCGTATCCTCGATGCCCAATTTTTTCCGTTACCACTGATACTATCTCAACTACCCTGGACTTTGTCCTTAAAATTTCATTTTGTTGCGCCACTGTGGTTCGGCGAATCGAACCAATGTACATAATTACCGAGTTCTACGTTTCGTTCGATTGACTATTTGAAATTAGAATTCATACTAATAAGCATTTGGTTTTAAATCTCAAAAGGTGTTTTTTTTCACTTAGGATTAAGAAGCAGCTTTTTCTGCGTTGTGTAATTTTAGCGGAATATGGATTGTGTTGGAGCACATTGATCGACCATTTCTTAGCTAATTAGCGCCAGCAGATACTTGGAGAAAGCTTCTTGTTTAAAATTCCAAATATGCTAACGTATTTCTTTTTATATTTCTTACTCCCATTCTATCTTGTTTGTGTGAAATATAATTGCGTTCCTGTTCAACCGTGTTCTGGTTTGAGGACTTATCGAGTGAAGTAAAGTGTTCTAATAACACTTAGCAATTAGAACAGCTGGGTCATAATTAAAGAGATCATAACGTGTATAATCAAAGATAATCTAATATACGTTTACCGGTTATTGAATATATGTTGTCATTAGTACGTTCTCACTACACGTATTGCATTTTATTCGTTTTTTGTCCTTATCAGTTATAACCATATAAGATGCTCATTTTTGTCTGTGAAAATAATCTCATTTGGTGGCCGTTTTATATTGTATTGATGGATAGTTAATTTTGGGTTAGACAAAATAAAGACAATGCACGGGAAACCGTTTTGTTTTCTACGAAATTGTTTAATATAGCTTCGTATTCGTAGTTGCTTTACATGTAGTTGCCTACGATAAAAGCATCAGTTTACCTTTGATATATCCGTTCATCAGATGTCTATTGAAGAATATAGTTTATTGTTCATTTGAAGTCAATATTTTCCTCAGTTCCGATAATCGAGCTTTCCAGATTGTTTTGCACCTCAGCGTGTATTCACCAGTTTACTTGTCCTTATGGAGCATGCTGTAGCGGGTCCACAAACTGTGCCCCTTCCAAGCGCTTATCCCGAAACTACCTAGCATAGCTATCCACAGGTAATTGCAAATTGGCTATTATTTCCAAAAACTGGGGTTAATTCTGATTTGGTTATTTATTCTCTGATGAAGTAGCTTACACTAAGTCATGAAATGTCAGGAAACCTAATTTTTCTACTCATTGGGATATTACAAGTATATCATTTATTTATTATTTTCATTGTTGAAGATATGGTCATATACGTCCACCGGAATATTCATATGCAATTATTCACTAAGTTTGAATAACTTGTTCTAAAGAAAGCTGGATGAAAAATCTATGCACAATAGAGGCTTTGACAATTAATTAATTAAATCCTGGTTTTTGTGCTCAGAAGCGGTGTCCAATCTCCCATTTTACTGTAGTCCTAACACCTCTTATTTTATAAGTTGTTATTGATACATCTTTTTCTCTCTTTATTTGTTAAGTGGACAATCTCTCACATCTCCCTCTTAAATATTTCTATTCTTATTACACCGACTATTACGCAACTTTATCAGACACTTGGAATTTTTGGCTAACTTTTGACACTTCAATCAATCATTTTATACCTTTCTGTTTTATTATAGACTGTTTTGCATAAAATAACCAGGAATACGGTTGTACAACTTTTGGAAAGCAGATTTTCTCCGAACTGTCTTTATTTTGTACTAATATTGTCAATATTAGAACGAATAGTTTGACAGAAATTGGGCGCCGAGTATAGAGAAGTCATTATATGTGAGAATTATATTTGAAATAATCTCAGCTATTATTACCCTGAAGAAGTCCAGACAAGTTAACTGGGCGAAACGTTGGAATTATTTAAATTTCAATCACTGAGATTATTTGAAATATAATTTTCACATATAATGTCTTTATTTTGCTTAATTTCGGGCTCAAGATAGATGCTTATGAATTAGAATAATAATTCCGATAGAACAAGTTGCCGTTAAATCTACACGTAACCCTTGTTTCTGACATAACTACTAGAGATCATGACATTCAGTTTGTTCTCAACCTTAAATTGCAAATTACATGGTATATCTTATGATTGTGCAAGATACTTTTAAATGTTAATGCTGGATATATTTTATGTACCTTATCATTTTAGATTATACTATCGATTATGAAGCACTCAACGCACTTCTAGAGTGGTCTGTTTGCCGAGATACTGGAATTTCAACAGCTGATGATAATTTGTCCACGCATGTTAAACCTGTACATGGTATTGTGCCTAAATGGCGAATTCGATTGAGTCAAATACCTGAGGACAATTGGGTTGGTTTGGTCGTCAAACCTAATCACTTACCGGATAGTGATCCTGGTATGTTTTCTATCTCAAAGGTTAGTTCGGAAACTGCTTCAAGTCCTCTTCCGGAAACCCTTGCTTCCAAACTTGGTGATGTTCAAAATGTCAAAGGCGCTTCTTCTCTAACTTATTCTGACTACTATAGAATTAAATATCAACAGATGAGAAACATATCTTTCACAATAAATCCATCACTACCATTGTTTGAATGTCTGAGAATAACACGTCATCAAAATTCGACTCAAGTTAGTGCGGGTCTAAGGAAAAATAAAGCATCTATCAAACCATCAGTGTTCCTATCTGATGCTTGTTTAGTGCATCCATTGTCATCATGGATTTGGTTCCAAGTTTCCTTGATACCAACAATTCTCTACCAAATGTCACGAGCGTTACTAGCCTCACAACTGTTCACAGAGTTGAATTATGAACTGAAAAGTCCTCAACCATTCTCTCAAATTAGAATAAATTCATTAACTCTAAGCAATGATTCACTTTCTCATACAACCATACTTGTCCCTGATCGTTTAAGTGTTCCTGTTTTTTTGAATGGTGAACCAATGGAAAAAAATATCTTTGATTTTGAAGTGGATGAAACAACTTCAGAAATAGATAAACAATTGGATAATAAAGCCTATAGTGAAAGTTTAGGGAAATCTACAATTTGCCCTCACCCTAATAATCTAATTGAACCAACTACATTACTCGGAGCTCGAGATGCAGTAGATCTTGAACGTTTAGAATTTTATGGCGATTCATTCCTGCATTTTATATCTACATTATGTGTTTATGGCACCAATCCACAAGATGCTGACGAAGGGTGTTTAAGTTCCAAAAGAGGTTCACTTGTATCGAATGCTCATCTCTGCGATATTGCTTGCGACTTGAAATGGTATGAATATTGTACCGGTCAAACATTTTCGCCACCAGAACACTTTTTACCCCCATGCTACTCTGTTGCGTCCGAGGTTAGTGACAAATTAAGGTTTTTTCAGTGTTTCTTTACTTACGTCCCAAAAATTTCACTTATTTGTTCTTAATTTGCTTTATTGAATATATTTATATTCAATAAAGAAAATTTTGCAGTTCTTTACTTCACCATATTATACAGCTTCCATTTTCTTATTTTCAAGTATTTTCATATATTATTTCCCGATTGGTACATAATGAAGTCTGTTATTTAGCCACGTATTCTTTTTTTGTGTACTCTTACGTGTATCCCTTTAAACACACTCATGGATTTTTTTAAGTATAAATTTTATGTTAGGTGAATTGGGAAGTCGCATTCCATCACATTGAGCGTAGGCCCAGTTATATTTACATTTTAACAAACAGGACAACTGAAACCTTTGACAGTGAGGAAATAGAACTCAACCTTTAATTAGTTATCTTCTTAATTTCCTTAGTCTCATCTATCAACTTCACTTGATTGCCCTCTGTAGTTGAATTTCTATCAAAAATAATACTCGAAATAATTTTATTTGGTACAGGTAAAGTTCCTTCTCATTTGTTCAGGAAGTTTTAGGATCTTCATAAAACAGACTTTGAAGTGTATCAACTGTTAGTCAGACCAGGTTATAGTCCGGTTTGAATAAATCAGCGAATAATAATAGTTACGCCTATTCACTGATGCAACTATTTGTGATTGGGAATCGTTCATAGTGCAGTTAAAAAACATAAACCATGTTTCAGTTATGACTGTGAACACTACTTTCTTTTCGGTACTTTTCATATTTTACTCTCAGTAAAACTCTCCTGTTGTTACGTTAAACTTTTTGAGTACAAGTTATCCAAGAATAAGTTTGTATGCATTCGAATCTGTGTTTTATGTGTATTCGACAATAACTACCACCGTTGATTTGCCCTTCAGCAATTGTGGTAGGTCTTACCATATGTGTATGCTTCTTGGGACAGGTTTCGGTTCACAAGACGTTCCTTTAAAATGTATATGCCTAGATAAAATTGGCACGATATGTATTAGAAATAAATCTGTGGGTCTAAAATTTAGTAAAAAGCACTTCAAACTTCATTTATTTATTTGATGTTAAAAAATTGATGGATAGATTATTGGACCTCATTACTAGAGTAAATCATAATTCAGCAACTTTTTAAGGTAGCTGACCATATTGTCTCTCGTTCAGATAGCTGATCATCAACATGCTTATTTGATCAAGATACTTTCTTTTATTTCCGTGTTTGTATTAACATAAACGTAGATCAGTCATATTCACGTAGTGTTAATTTCATCTGATTTTTCTAATCCGTCAGCACCGAGTTTGACTATTCATTAGATAAATGCTCAGTAATTTAACATGGAAATAATATTTTCTTTTTCATGCGAACATTCTCAGAAACATTCATTGTTAACATTGTTCCAGTTTATATAAGTTGATTTAAGTCTAGAATAAGGACAATGGGGAGATGCTTTTAATATGAAGTGGATGTAAAACGGTTGTATGGATCAACGATGAATGCACAACAGCACTTCGACGATGATAATTACATGAGGCTGAGAATTGAGAAAGCAAAATTTTTTAAAACTTTAAGGCAGTTATGCAAGTAAACATCACAGTGTGTATATTATTGTAAAAGTAGCCAATTAGAATAAGTGTGGGTTACGTGATATTGCTGCATTACAAAGATTAAAGTAATATTAAGTGTGAAAAGAAGAAACTAATATTTGTTGTGGCTATATCACAATGCCACAACAATTATGATATGGTTCACTTGGTATTATTTTACTTGAATCTTCCCATTGATGTTTTGGGACTGAAATTGATCAGTCTCTTATTGGCATATGTTCATACTGTGTGTATGTCTCGATATTGCCTTAATTTACAAGCAGTATAAGCAAAGATGGATAGTCGCTAGCAGTGGAATCCAGGACGCGCGTTTCGTCCTGTTTGGGACTTGTCAGCTTGTAAATTAAGGCAATATCGAGGCATTCGCACAGTATGCACATATGCCAATAAGAGACTGATCAATTTCAGTCCTAAAACATCAATGAGAAGATTCAAGTAAAACAATAGCGAGTGAATTAAACTTCACCCCCATTGCACAAGCAAGTGGCTATCAGGACTCAGTAACTAAGTGGATAACGCGATGGCGTTTAAAGCGAACGGTACTTAGTTCGAGTCCCAGAGTGAACATCAACTCTGAGATGCAGGTAGATCCAGCTGACGAGTCCCAAACAGGATGAAACGCGCGGCCTGGATTCCACTGCTAGCCACTATCCATCTTTGCTTAATTATGATATGAGTTGACCATGACAGACTGTGTAAATGTACCTCCGTTACCATGCAAAGATGATTTGTACGAATGACTAGAAGTCATACCTTTTCTTTAAGTAATGGTGGAACTACCTAGCTGGTTGATTTAAAAATAAAAGAGGTGTGGTTCAAACCCTCAAACAAACAGTTGAAGCTCATGTATGTTAACTAATAGATCATCACTGTAAACAAAGATATCAACTTGACCAATGTGTTTTGCCGTTCGATTCATAAGGCATACTCAACCTACTATGAAAAAGAGTAGACTAAATTTTGTAAGGAAGTTCCCGAACCGAATAACAATGCACATAATTCATGAGTGTATTTTCGATTATTCTTCTAACTTTGATTACATGGATACATGGACTGAGACTTTGAATATGGACATAAACGATTTCCTACAACACCGTGTTTTAGAATTTCTTATCTACCATTGAACTCCAAAATGGCATGTGAAAAAAGGCACGTGATATACCTAGACTCACCCAGCCTATCGTTTGATAGATATAGTCAATCGACAATACACTTTTCACCTTCAATGTGACAACGACGATGGTTACTCAGAGCACATTTGACCAGTTAATATTGATTAATTTCCTACCATTTAATTATTTTGTGTATTTTTCCTTTATAGGTTAGTAAATATGATCCACGTCTGTATACTCGTTTAACAGATAAATCTTTGGCAGATATGATTGAAGCACTTATAGGATGTTTCTTACTACGTTCAGGACTATCTGCTGCATTTAATTTACTTCATTATTTTCAAATATGTCCTGTGAGTTGGAGCACCCTAAAAAGTGATAAGCATTACAAAGTTGAAGCTCCATGGCACTTTTTTTTACAACCAAAATTATATTCAGAACTAAACTATGGAAATGCTTTCAATCCTTCATCTAGATCCTTACATATTTCGAAGGAAATTATACTGGAATTAAATCAGAGGTTTTTTCAGTTACAAGAAAAACTAGGTTATGGTTTTAAAAAAATTGAATTGCTTGCGGAAGCTGTGACTCATCAGTCATCATCTAATAGACAATATTGGGGGAATTATCAAAGGTACGATGAGTTACATAAGCTACAATTATCCCTACATAATTTAATGTATAGTTTCACATAACATGATTTGGCAAATTGTTTGAAGCATCTCATTTTCACATTATATATGTATAATTTTTAAATTGTATAAAATTTACATTCAAATGAACTACACAGAACCTTTATTTAGACGATTATTTATATGCTTCATTCGTTCAAATTGATTAGTTAAGTTTGTGCTTAGGATTAAAGTTCTACGTAAGAATTTGAACTATCATAGACATTTCTCTTACAGGATAAGCATAAAAATATATTGACTGATCAAATCATAATATTGAATCCATCCGAGCTTTTTTAATTCAGTATAGTATGTATCAAATAATAATACGTTAGAAAAAAAGACAATAAAATACCCGGCAAACGCAAGTCTAGTGAAAGTCTAATCACTAGTTATATTGAAATTTTTTTTAGTAGACAACTGTTTTCAATAACTTTATCATCAGTCTCTACAGTTATAAGTCCATAATTATCGTGATATTTTACAAAGGTCAAAATAAGGCATGTATTAATGAATTTGACGATATTGTGTGTTAAAATTGGTGAACGTTTGCATCTGTTACGATATATATACTTCAAAATTTTGTTATTTGCAAATTACAAAGGTCATATGATAAGGGTCAAATGATTCAGAATAGTGTCAAGTCACAGTGTAATAGTAATATAACAAGAAGGAAAATGAAAAAGAATTGTGTGAATAAATGCATATTGAAATCTCAAAAAATAAAATACTTGTTCTTTTGAAGCTTCTGATTGTTCATTATGTGCGTGAATATTTGCTTCTTAAAGTTTCCTTTAACGATATCTATACAATTCACTGAAATGTCACAAGTGTTATCGTATTGCAAATATTTTTGTTATCATGGATTGTTTATCGTTTGCAGGGAAAACGAATTTACTGCATATTAATTCAAACCGTACTTTGTAGAGAGACGGAAAAAATATGACAAGTCTGCAATAATACTGTAGATCATTAATAAATATTACTTCATACGAGTACACCACTCTTTATTATAATTTGTATTCGATATATTCAACTATTAGAATCAGTTTTTAGTTCTAAGACGATTTGTATAGTAGCTTCAAACCCACTCAGGATTACTTTTGTCTGAACTAGCTTAAGGCTCAATTCTTATTCAATATCCTATAAATTACTTTGCACTAGCACAGACGAATAATCCTCAATATATGTTAAGTGTATGTACATGTGAATATATGTCTGTTTGCTGATCTGCCTATTGTACCAAAGTATTGATATATAAACTCTATCCAAAACCGACATACTGATTGGACAATAAGTAAGATCTAAATTTAATCCATTCTTTTACCATCATATGTCTATTAATCTGTATCCCTGAAATATAACATTCCCAAAGCATTTCTTATTATCTCATTGTCAAGTGAACTTTTTACAGAACAGGATAAGAAAATGTACAAAATTGATCAGGGGTCGAGTACGAATAAATTCAGATATGTTCACTAAATATGATATAATTTGCTACATTTGTAAGTTTACATTTGGTAACGTAAACAACCGCAGCAGAAAAATATAGTACATGTAATTACGGAGAGAAAAAGTCTATTTTTCTAAAGTGAAACTGTACTGTCCTGTTTCTTGAATAAATTATTCATTCTTTTTTTTCGATTTCACGCAACGGTATTTTTAAATTTCACCAATTAGTTTGTTTGATATTGAACCTTGATGTTTTCCCTTACAAACATAATTTTACTTAGGTTTTGATGACATTTCATTTTCGTTATTTTATATATTTTAGATTTTATGCTTATTATTATTTTTTTATTATTATTACTACTCTTCACTTGACATACTATCGTCAAATGGTTGTCCTTTTAAAAAAAATTTATCGCATCAAAGGTTAGAATTTCTTGGCGATTCCATTTTGGGCCATATTATCAGCAACTATCTGTTTCAAAAATGTCCTCACTCATCCCCAGGTTAGCTTATTTTTAAACTATTTATTTTCACTTCAGATGTAAATGTAACGAAAAGTTTCAAAAATATTTTCAATATATAACTAAACGTGTAAAACTATTCCAGAGAAACGAGAGTTTAGATTCCCCATAGATTTACTAATAAAGCCTTTCCTTAAAATCGTACACGGCAATTTATATGATGGTCAAAGATTAAGCCTGATTGCCCCGACCGTTGTTGCTACCTTGACGTGGTGGTCGGGCTTGCCTATCGTGATGAAGCGACCGAGCTATACTGGCTGGAACAACTGTTCCTCAAGGTCCTACCATGTCAGACAGGTCGGTTGAAGAGCGGTAAGACTAAAAGCAACAAACCCAAGGTCCGAAGGCGAAGTCGTACTGCTGACTGTACAGAGGTGTGACAGCAGTAAGGTGTTTCCTTCAAGCAACCAGCATGACAGCGATGCTGCCTTCCCACAAGGAGGGGTGGGGTTAGAAAAGGTCGACCGTAAAAATGCACACCTCACCTTATCCCACGGATATCCGTCTCCGGCAGTAAGGTCTCAACAAGTACGGAGCTAACACGTCAAAAACCTTCCACGAAATGACCGTGCGCGACCGGCCTCAAGCAGTTGTCCCTTGGGCTCTGCCGTCACGCTCCCAGGTCGTTAAGACCAACACTAATCCAATTTCCTTTTCAGGTACCTCCAGAAGAACCCTTCCACGGTGTGGGCAACCGGGAAGTGATAACCGCCCTCATACCTCTAACAGCACTCAAGACCACTGTATTCATAACCAACCTCCGTCTTCACTTTCTATTATTCCTCCTACATCGACTTTCAACTCTAAATTTCCTCTTTCAGCTTCCTCCTCAAGTGTCACCATAGCCAACGATTCTAGTGCTCAAAACTCTGTCCCATGTCTACTGAAACCTCGCTGCAAACTACACATTGGAGCCTTCAACGTACGCACCCTGTGCCAAATCGGTCAACAGGCTTCCTTCGCTAGAACCCTAGAATCTCGTACCATTGGTGTATGCTGTGTCTCTGAAACACGCATACAGGATCCCAGTGTGGTCATTCACTTGACCTCACGTCGGCAAAGCGGAGAGCCAACGAGATACACCCTCCGTGTATCTAATGACCCGATGGGCAGCTCTCGTGGACTGGCAGGAGTAGGCATAGCACTAAGTATGAGGGCGGAACAAGCACTGTTAGAGTGGATACCCGTTAACAGTCGTTTATGTGCTGTTCGGCTAATCGGCTCCGTAAGAACTCGGAAGGATAGGGACACACGTCGTTGCCTTTTTATCGTTTCTGCTTACGCTCCCACCGACTGCAGCTCAGATGAAGTGAAAGATGAATTTTACAGAAAGCTATCTGAACTTCTTCAGAAAGCTAAACGTTCAGACATAGTACTCGTAGCAGGTGACTTTAATGCCCAGATAGGTAGTTTAAACCAAACAGAAAGGCATTTAGGTGGGTATTTCAGTATACCGGCACAGCGAACAGATAATGGTGATCGTCTGCTGCAACTGTGCTCAGACAATCGTTTATTTTTAGCAAACACAAATTTTAAGCATAAGGAAAGACATCGTCTAACATGGTGACCCCCTACACCAAACCAACGATGGACTCAAATAGACCATATTGCCACCAGTCATCGTTGGAGAGGGTCGGTAGAAGATTGTAGCTCATTCTGGAGTACCTGCTTGGACTCCGACCATGCCCTAATACGGACACGCATCTGCTTGTGCCTCACTGGACGCAAAAAAGCCACAGTAAAAAGACCCATTAGAACTGAATTGAGTATCGAGAAAACCAAAAGTAGGTTCCAGGAACAACTGAGGTCACGATTAGGTAGTTCTGAAGACGAGGCTGACCCAGATGTTGCTTGGAAAGCTATACAAACAGCAATGACATCTATCAGTGATTTAAACCACAGGGTTACAAAGAACCAATGGATTTCTTCAAGGTCTATTGCACTGATGGATTCTCGTAAACTCATCCCATCAGGCTCTGAACACGATGAAGAGCTTAAACAAATCAGATCTAGGCTAACCAAAAGTCTAAGGAACGACCGTGAGCAGTGGTGGACAACGAAAGCAAAAGAGATGGAAAGGGTGGCGGCTATAGGGGACACAAGACAGCTCTACAGACTAATAAAAGAAACTGGAATTAATGAATCAAGTGTAAGTGAGACTATTTCGGAAAAAGATGACACTCATCTGCTCTCGGTCCAGACGTTCAGAACGATGGGCGGAACATTTCAGAGAACTGTTCAGCTGGCCTTCAGCTACTATACAACTACCCTCCATTCCCAGACAATGTGAATGGAACATTGAAGTAGGTCCCCCAACTCTAGCAGAAGTTCAAAAGGCTATAGCTAATCTGAAACGAGAAAGGGCAGCTGGTCCAAATGGATTGGCTCCAGAAGTCTTTAAGGATGGTGGTCCGATTTTAGCGATTAGGCATACTTATCGGCGTCCGACAATGGCAGTCTTTCTTTACTTAAAAGCAGCATTTGACTCTGTAGACCGCGAGATTCTGTAGCAGTGTCTGTGATTGAAAGGCGTACCTCAGAAGTACATAAACCTTGTGAAGGCTCTTTGCTCGAACGTTACCAGTCGAGTCAGAGCTTATGACGAAATGTCATCTGCTTTTGCAACCTCAAGTTGTGTCCGTCAAGGCTGTCCACTTTCTCCATTTTTGTTTAACTTCATCATAGACCTACTAATGGAAATGACATTCTCGTCGACTGAATTCTCGGGTATTGACCTCCTACCAGGAGGTCCACTTATCGACTTAGAATACGCAGATGACATAGTCCTGTTTGGTGAAGACGCTGACAAAATGCAGAGTCTTCTGGTAGCACTGAGCAACAATACCAGGATGTTTGGAATGCGCTTCTCTCCCTCTAAATGCAAGTTGTTGCTTCAGGACTGGTCTGCGTCAACACCTGAACTAAGGATAGGGAGTGAAGTAGTCGAACACGTTGACAACTTCACTTATCTTGGAAGTCTGATCAGCCCTATTGGGTTATATACGCGTGGCCGTGTGAGAGCACTTCGAGAGGAAGTGTGTGCCCACCCCACTCTCGGCCATACCAGGGCATTTGGAGGCTCCTCCACAACAGTTATCTACTTTCAGTATTCTGCGATACGTTTGATTCCAAATGTGATATGTTTTTACATAGTCACAGTTGATTGTATGTAAGCATTTTCCAATACACATTATCTATTGGTTCAATGTCAATGTGTGATATCATTTTAGCCTGTCAAGTTTTAGTAGTTTTTAATTCATTAATGTTAAGTATTTGTTATATACTATTTGGTATCAATTAAATATTATCTAGAAATTACTGTTTATTAGGATAGTAAAAATAATTGTATCACTGTGTTGCTCTTGAAGAATCAGTGTATTTAAGAAAATATCGTTTTGTTATTGTTAGTTGTTCATTGTAAATATCATTGTCAAGAGCTAAACTAGTAGTTATCAAAAACAGTGACATAATTCTGATCAGGGAACTGGCTAGATTAGCGTTAGGTGGTTGATATTATTATTATCTAGTCACATAGACTAGTCGCCATACAGCAACTTGATCGTTAGAAATCCATTGGCCTAATGAATAGACAGAAGTGACACCATTAACTACTCAGGGACCAATCACCACAACTGACTGGGTTGTTTGAAAAACGGGGCTCCGACATCCTGGAATGTAGCCGTCCTCTTTACCATCTTTTAAAAGGGCCTGCATAATCCATAAAATAGCCATCTGGGGTTGTCCAGTTTCGATTGAATTCAAATTACTGACTTCCGTCATACTGCGTAGACATTTAAAAACGGATTCAAGGGCAGACGGGTTTTCGTTCAGTTTTTAGATACATTGAGCATATCTTCGCCTTCCATCAACTGTTAGAATGCCATCATACTTATTGCAGGCCGATAATTGTACTGTTTCTTTGATATCAGAACTGTCTTCGATTCATTGAACAGAGTTGTGCTCTGGAATTGTCGGTTAGAGAAGAATGTACTCGAGAAGTTTATTAACATCTTGAAAGCTCTGTATACAAGCACCTCAGTCAGAATGAGGAAATACAACCACTTCTCATCATTTACCCATTCAAGCATGGGGGTTAAGCAACTTTGCTCAGTCTCATCATTACAGTCCAACTTTTCCACTGACTACATTCTGGAAACAGCTGTGATGTAGGTAATGGTAGTATAGACGAAGGACTCTTTGATCTTGAGTATGTCAATACTTTACTACTTTAGTCCATCTTTGAAGCTGTCGTGATGTTAATATACGTGTAAAAGGTAGGGTTTACACTGTCTGGCCCCTGCGAACTAAGGATGTTTGGTGATTCTCTATGTTTGATCGTCATTGCATCCGACGGAACGTTCACATCTGGCGTCAAAATTATTTTAGTGATGTTGAGGTTAATTATAATTTATTTGTTACTCCCCGTTATTGTTTGTCATTCGAAACTTGGCTTTGATTTGTTTCGATAAATTATTGAAGCTGTTGAAAAACATTTTTAGTCAAATAATGTGTAGTTTTTCTGCTTGTACAACTGGAAAAGTGAAAAATGAACTTCATCGTTGAGCCATCTAGTTGCATTTGAATATAAATCATAATTAGTTTTCTAACATTATTGTTATATTAATTGAAATCAACAATAATTATATATGTTCTCTTCCAGGTGCATTGACCACCGCACGATCTACTGTTGTCAGTAATATTAATTTAGCTAATGTTGTTGTTGAGCATGAAATCCACCCATTCATCGATTTTGGGAATTGCAGTCAGAAAGCATGCATTGATGATATAAAAAGTATTCATCGTCAAACCGATTCACATTTTGAACGTATTGAGGTAGACTACTACACCTCTTTTATAGTTTAATATTTTTTGCGTAATAAAATCAATATTGTTCGCTGAGTTTATTTTATAACAAATTATGTAGATGGCTTAAATGTTGCCTAGTATTCTTAGTACATTCTATTGTGGGATCATTTATTTCCTATATTAATTGAGTTGGTACAGTCATTGGATGCTAATTACCTATTTTTAGAAATCAGTTAATAAATTTCGACAATGTAATAAGACGAAGATTATCAGAACTATTTGATATATTAGCGCAATTCATTTCGAACAATCTGAACACACATATACTTGTTAAGAACATTTATATATAGAAATAAAAGGTCAACTAGACTGGAAATGGGAGTAAGAAGAGACAAGGATAATAATAAGAGTAATAATAGTAATAATGTGAACACTAATTGAAACCTAATCACTCTGGCTATTATCAGGGTAATATTGGCTTATTATCCAGTGATTAGGTTTCAAGTTGTGTTCACATTATTATTATTACTCTTATTGCTATTATCCTTGTTGGCCTAGGATAACGCGACAATTTCTTATTCTTTCTCCCCCCTTAGTTATTTTAGTTGTACTTTTATTTGTTTGTTTGACCTTTATTGACCTTTATTAATTTCCATATAAAAATGCCTTGACAAGTATATGTGTGACCAGATTGTTCGAAATGTATAGCGCAAATACATCACATTTTTCAGATCAACTCCGTCTTCTCATTGTTCTATCGAAATTTATAAAAGGGACTAATTGCTTTAAATATTATCCTTGTCTCTTATTACCCCTATTTCCAGTCTAGTTGACCTTTTATTTCTATATATAAATGTTCTTAACAAGTATATGTGTGATCAGATTGTTCGAAATATGCCACCAGCAGGAAAACTGTTTAGATCCAGGGAGCACTAGATATTTGTTTTAGTCTAGGTTGAGACTCCTCAGAAGTATGGAACTGGCGATCCTTAGGTGACCCAAACTGTGACGTAAAAGAACTTTGTGTCATTGTAAACTGTTGAATTAATACTACGACTAGTTGTAGTTGGCTATTCGATTAACCCGTTGTTGATATTTTGACCGAAATTTGGTTGGCATGTGTGGATCCTGTGCGAATCGGCTCTGAAAAGTCCCAAATATGACGAAACTCTCGTTCTAGATTCCACTGCAAGTCACATTCCATCTATTCTATACTAACTTGTGATTAGTAATGTTTATATTCCACATTTAACTTTTTCTCTTATTGGCTGGATAATAGTGACACTGATATAAACAATACGAATGCATTCATTCTTTGCCTTTCTATAAGTGTTGGGCGCAGTATTACTTCTTAATTACATTCACTTTTTTCTCTTTTTTTATTTCAAATTACTATTAATCTTTTGATCTTTATTTCCTTAGTTGTCTGTTTTTATTGACTTCTGTTAAAATTTTATCCTCTCAAAATGGATTTTGATTTTTTTCCAACGTAAACGTCTTCCATTCACTTACCAAGTTTTAAATAAAAGTTATATTTATCTGTTTGACTATCATGTCATGTTTTGAACCATTAAATGGATGGTATGTATTTACTAAGACCTATGAATTAAGGTTTATGTGTGCATCGATTAGGTTTATTTTGATTTAGTTTTTTGACTTAATAGAAGTGCTATTTTGAAAATCCATATTTGCTCTATAACTATTTATTTAGATGCTCTGAACGTGTTTATGTTCCACAATTTTAGTTAATTACAAAGAAGGTTTCTTCGGGGCTCAATATCAAGGTATTGGCTGATGTGTTTGAATCGATTCTCGGTGCAATTTTTGTAGACAGTGATGGTAATCATCAAGTCGTTTCTTCTATTATTCATCGATTCTTGGGTAAAACGATGAGTACGTTTTTCCTTATTAAAAATTCACGACTGTATTGGGTATCTTCGAAATGCTGCTGATTTTTGAACCCTTTCTTGTTACTCTCTTACCTTTGTATTCACCTATAAATGCATGTGTATGTGTGTTAGTTATTTTAAATAACTTCATGTAGTCGAATTATAATGAAATTTATTTCCAGATTGTTGACACTCTTCAAGATTCACTTGCATACTTGAAGAAATAGATTCTGTTTCATAGTTTTCGGTTGTATGAATAAATTACCGACTCGACATACTTCAATGTTATTCATTATTGTTCGAAAAATTCTGAAGCTTCAAAGTCAATCAACATTTTCCTAGAAATAGCACTTTCATACTTACCTACTCTTCCTTACTAGTGGAGTACCGAACGGATTACGACTACAGTTATCTGCAGAAACCTCTAGGACTTCAGGTTCACTAGTTATGATGAGACATATCATAATAATAAACGAATGTCATTGTGGTGTACGCTACTGATGTCAACAGAGGTACGTAGTATGTAACACAAATCGGAAGCGGAAGGATAGGACGGGAAAATAGAAAGGAATTGTCAACTGGAAGAAACATGCAGAATGTAAAGGACAAATGATAGAAATTTGCAAACGAAGTATTCAGCATATGGTTCTTACATTTTACAGAGATACTCTGCAATTTCGTATTTTAGAAAATCAATCTGTTGTTCGCACATGTGTTTATTATTATTATTATTATTATTATTATTATTATTAATGGCTTTATTCAATATTATATTTTGGTACAATATAGAATTCTCAGCACAGGGTATTTCAACAAGTTTCTTACACAGAAAACAGAAACAAAGACAAAAAAAGTTTTAAAAAAACACCACATTCCTAAATTCCTTTTAGACCCAGTTTCTTGAACGAAAGTAAGCTGGATGGTATGAAAATCAACTCATGTCGTCTATCCGAGAACCGTAGAGTATTACAAAATCACTCCCCAGCTTTTCTTAAGTTAGTGACCCACTAAGCCTCAGAGAAGAGGCTGTACTAGTCGACTGAATCCTCATTGCCAGTCGATTACATGCTGCTATGTAAGAATGCTACGTCAAAGTGGGATTTAGAAAACAATGTTCTTTGCTCACCCCCCTCTATGCCCGAATTGATTTCAGTCCAGATGAAATCAAGGATGAGTTTAGCACCAATTAAATGGTCTAAAGAAAACCCGTTTGGTAAACATTGTAATGATAGCTGGAGATTACAATGTGCAAGTTAGGTTTCTATGTACTTAGGAGTCATTTGGGTATCTGAACGGGATTTGTTGGTTCTAGGTCAGATAACGGTGACCGCCCCCCTGAAATTTGAGTAGATCACAATCTACTTTCGACCAGAACCAACTTTTAGCACAGTCATCGCCAGTGTATTACCTGGTATCCTCCCCTTGCATCTCAAGCCTGGACCCAGATTGGCCACATCGCGATTAGCTGCTGCTGGCGTGGTTGTGTACAAGACTTCTGCTCCCTGTGGAATATTTATCTGGACTCTGATCATGGTCTCGTTCGAGCTAACTTTATCTTACGTTTCAGTGGCCGACAACTTCATCGCCATAAATGGATCGATGTTATCAAATTAGCTGCACTTTTTATTGTAGCTAAACATCAAGCCGAACTAGGTTCAGGACTATCAACTCACCGAAAAGTGTAGATGAGCATTGGCTACAATTGCATGACGCCATAAAAGTTGCGAGTAAAGTCGCTTGCGGCTTTGCGAAACGTTCCACTTAGAAGGACTTGGCTTTTACAGGCTCCGTACAACTCATTGAAGCACGTCAGTTCACTGCAGCCAACCACGAGTTTGATCATAAACGGAGATTGTTACGTAATGAAAATGTGAAAAGTTTGCGTAAGGACCGAGAAGCCTGGTAGTTGGAGAGTGCTAACGAGTTGGAAGCAGCAGCTCCATTTGACAAATGCCGGATGTTCTTTCAATTCATTCAAGTCACTAGCAGAAAGATGTCTGGTGTGGGTGGAACCTGTTGTAACGTCAATTAACAACATTTATTTACGTCTTGGATGATAGGCAGAGCTCCCCAACAAACGGTTCGACTGGTCTGTTGTCTTAGTGACATCGACCGAACTGTCCTGTCCTCCATGACCGGTGGAGAACGGTTCACCTGACGAGGATGAAGTCTGCGAGAAACTCTAACCCCTTGAAGCCACGAAAATCACCAGGCCCAGACGATTTGCTTCCAGGCCTTTTTATAGACGGCGAGGAACTTTCGGTTCGAGACCTGACTGTGTTGTTTGAAAATATTTGATCGAGTGTTACAGCATGACAGAATGAAGTGGTAGCTAACTGTATTTTTGAAAAGGTTGTTCGTCATCTATGCAACAATTATCGGAGTAAGTCTACTTCTGATCGTATAGAAACCATTGGCTTCTGTCGTACATCATAGATTGTTTAAATCTGGGGAAAGATTGACTTGTGAGAAGCAGACTGATTTTCGTCCAGTTTTTTGATGTGTTGATCACACGTTCACTCTTCGCCATATAATTTATCAGAAATGGTTCAAAATAAAAGTCAATGGCGATCATGTTGTGACTTTCTTTTGCTTTCTTCATGAAAGTGAGCTTAACTTATTTAACTGGGACAATTCTGGTTGTATTTTTCCCATAATGATAATAATAATAATTTAACCATCATACAGTAATTTCTATTCATTTCTGTTCTTATTTTTATTATACTCACTTTTCGTTCTTCATCTCTTCATAACCTCACTTTTATTGTGTCACATATATATTTGATACCTATTTGTACCAATGTTTATATGTTCAAATAAACATTCCGGATCATATTATAAACTGATGAAGTTGTATCTCCATAAAAGCAACATGTGACTTTTTGTCAGTTGACTTTTTTAGGTTTGTTTGTCTGAAGTAGTTTTATGTCCATTTCGTTATTAGAAAGCAAAACACATTTCAGTTAATTTTTACTTACAATATATGTATTGGTTAATGTAGTTTTCATCCACTTATAATTGTTGATGTGATGATACTTAGAGCTTTAAATTGCGGTATATAAGGAGATTCGATTCAAATTCGCTAGATGCCATCTTTAAGCGGCTGTATGGACAACTGTTTAATTTATTTTTGGTTCCAGTTTTCTGTTATGAAGGTATTCATTATTGTGAAATTCACTTTGTATTGTAACTCTTTGATCATATATTTAAAAAAAATTGATGATTTTATCTTCTGTTTTTTTTTCAGATTCTCTCATTACTAATTTACCTGTTCAAACAGTTCAACAAGTGGATTTACCATATCCTGAAATACGATATAAGTAGGTCAAAGATGTGTTTTTTCCTCCAATGCCGCTAAAAGACTGGTTGTAACTCGGTTACTTAGTCCTGTTCGGAATTCATGCGCACGTTATCTGGTGACTTAGTGGTAAAATCTCTTTTCCCCTTACAAATTTGTGGCACCACTGCTTCTGCCTATATGGTCTGCATTTCGTTCTAGTGGTGCATTAAGTGATATTAAATACTATGCATGAAGACACTTAACGAGCATCATCCACAACCAGTCGCTTATCTTCAAATAACTTCAAGTTATTCATTTATTCGTTTCTATTCATTATCTTTGAAAATATTCGTCCAACAGTTATAATATCCATAGTTCTTTAAAATATTTGGAAGAAATTTTTGCATGTTTACTTACATCTGTTACCCGTCGTGGAGCATTGACCGTCGACAATGGCTCCAAATAAATCTCTCCTGAGCTCTCGATTCGCGGTTAGTGTTTTCCTTTTAATACCTGCCTCCGATTCCCGGGGCAAGGTGTTCTTTGGTCTGCTCCTTGTCGTTTTACCTTGAGGAATTAAAGTTGGGACTTTCTCCGTGGTACCGTCTGATGATTTCTGTAGCATGTGTCCTATCCAACTACAGCGTCTTTTCTTGATTTCAATTGCAGCTGGAAACTGATTTGTACCCCACAACATTCGGTTGTTGCCGATGTTATCCAGCCAACGAATTTGAATTATCTTGTGTAAATAGCTGTCCATTGATATCTACATTTTCATGCAGGTGGTTGTGGTAATTCTTCAATTTCCTGGTCCATGCAATGAAATGTTTTTTAAGTTGGTGTTGGGAATTCAAACTTTGATGTTGTCAGACAGTTGTTTCGAGTTCCGTATATTCTTTGATCTTAGGAATGCTGCCCTTGCTTTGCCAATCCGTGCCTTCACATCTCTATCACATACCTCTTGTTTATCAATGATGTCCAGATGCATGAAAGTCCTCCACCTCTCCCAAAGCTTTTTCCTTTGTGAATGTTAGACCTGCTGCTGATACACTGAGTACCTTCACCGGCATCTGTTGTCGTATAAGGAATAGGAGAGCTAGGTCATCTGTGAAATCCAAATCACCTAGCTGTATTCTATCTATTCATTGTATTCCATGCTGCCCCTAAAATGCAGAGGTTTTCATATTCGAGTCAGCCACCAGAAGAAAGAGAAAGGGCGAGGGTATGTAGCCTTGTCTGACATCGGTCTTCACTTGGAATGTATCTGTCAGCTGCACTCCATGCACGACTATGCAATGTCCATCGTATGAATTTCGTGTGGTGTTGACTATCTTCTAAGGTGTTTAAGGAGGCTACAAGGTCCCTTCGATCCTTGCTTTAAAATGCTTTCTCTTCGTCATAGAAGTTGACGTATCTTAACGGGTTCCATTCCATTGAATAACCTTGTATCATTGTTTGGATCTTCTCATTAGCATTTAGAACTGCAGTCGATAAGTCTCCTACTGGCATATCCTCGTCCTGTACGAATTTCCTCGATATTGTCTTAAAATGGGAGGATTATTAGCAGAGACGAATGATTGCTAGCAGTAGAATTCAGAGCGTGCGTTTCGTCCTCTCTGGGACTCGTCAAATGAATGTACCTGAATCAAATAGTTGGTGTTCACTCCGCGACTCATACCTAGTACTTTGCGTATCGGACCCCATTTTCCTTATCCACTTAGCTACTAAGTCCAGATGGCTTCTGGAATAGGATGAAGTTTAATTCGTCTTGTATTGGCTATTTAAATATCCTCAAAACGCGCGTCCTGTAATGCACTGCTAACCACCATTCGCCTCTGCTTATAGTTCTCACACTTGCCCAGATCTACTTTTTCTGGTATCTGTTGCAGCTATGCTCAAATAACCGCCTGTTCCTTGCAAATACTAACTTTAAGCATAAGGAAAAACATCTTTTAACATGGCGACCCCCTAATTCGTCCCAACGTTGGACCCAAATAGATCACATCGCTATCAGCCACCGATGGAGGGGCTCGATAGAAGACTGTCGCTGATTCTGGAGCACATGCCTAGATTCAGATCATGCTCTAGTGCGAGCGCGTATTTGCTTGCGTCTTACTGGACGTAGGAAAGACGCTGCAAGTAAACCTCTTAGGGCCCAACTTAATGATAGTCAAGCTAAGAGTATATTTCAGGAACAACTAGGAAAACAGTTAGGCAGCCATGTATGTGATGCTCACCCCGATGCAGCATGGAATGATATCCGAAAAGCTGTGGAAACAGCAGTGATATCTGCTAGTAAGGTAAACCAGAAGGTTAGGGAGCAACACTGGATCTCAGCAGCATCTATCTCACTGATAAATGCTCGGAAACACATTCCACCTGGCTCTGAACATAATGAAGAGGGGAGTCAGCTTAAGCGCAAGCTGACAAGAAGTCTACGCAATGATCGCGAACAGTGGTGGGCAGCGAAAGCAAGAGAGATGGAAAAGGCAGCGGCAATAGGTAATAGCAGACAATTGTTCAGACTTGTTAAGGAAACCGACTGTTAGCGAAACAATCTCAGAGAAAGATGGACATATTATTCATTCTCAATCCAGGAGATTGGATCGATGGGCAGAACACTTCAGGGATCAGTTCAACTGGCCTTCAGCCACATTTCGGTTTCCCACGATCTCCAGTCAACCTGAATGGCAAGTTAATGTAAGTCCTCCGTCCCATTACGAAGTTGGAAAAGCCATAGGAAATCTGAAACGAGGGAGAGCAGCAGGCCCTGACAGGTTTACTCCTGAGATTTTTAAGGATGGTGGTCCAGTATTAGCAATGAGATTAACTGAGGTCTTAAGTAGAATTTGGGATTCGGACGTAATCCCATCTGACTGGTCTCAATCACTGATTGTGCCAGTCTATAAGAAAAGACAAAAGTCCTCTTGTGACAATCACAGAGGAATCAGTTTGACTAATATAGTGTCTAAAATATTAGCCTCAATAATGCTTCGACGCCTAACCAAAGCTCGTGAAGAGCAGACTAGAGAAAATCAGGCCGGTTTTCGACCTGGACGTGGTTGTATAGACCAGATATTCACACTACGTCAGGTTCTAGAACACAGACACACATTCAGACGCCCCACAATGGTAGTATTTCTAGACCTTAAAGTAGCATTCGACTTATAAAGGCTCTCTACTCGAACACAACTGGTAGAGTGAGAGCTTATGGCGAACTGTCACCAGAATTGATCACCTCAAGTGGTGTTCGTCAGGGCTGTCCACTCTCCCCATTCTTGTTTAACTTTGTCATTGACGTACTTTTAGAGATAACACTCCTCATCTAAATTTCCAGGGGTTGAACTTCTACCAGGAGGTTCACTTGTTGACTTAGAATATGCAGATGACATAGTTTTATTTGGTGAAGACGCTGACAAAATGCAGAGTCTTCTGACCACTCTAAACAACAATGCAAGCATGTTCGGGATGCGATTCTCTCCCTCGAAATGCAAAATGTTGCTTCAGGATTGGATTGCATCGACACCCGAACTAGTGATAGGGAGTGAAGTAGTTGAGTGTGTCGACCGCTTCACTTATCTTGGAAGTCTCATCAGCCCTTGTGGTTTAGTGTGTGACGAAATCTCAGCACGGATACAGAAGGCTCGACTAGCTTTTGCCAACTTGCGTCAATTATGGCGTAGGCGAGATATCCGTCTATCAACCAAAGGACGTGTTTACTGCGCAGCAGTTCGTTCCGTCCTACTTTATGGCAGTGAAACATGGTCGGTAAGAGTAGAGGATATCCGTAGGTTACTAGTATTTGATCATAGGTGTCTTCGAAACATTGCTCGTATGTCATGGGACCATCGAGTAAGTAACACAGTTGTTAGGAAACGGGTACTAGGTAAGGTTGGCAAATCAATTGATGAAGTAGTGAAACTTCATCAGTTGAGATGGCTGGGACACGTGTTACGTATGCCCAACGACCGACTACCTCGACGTGCGATGTTCAGTGGTATAGGAGTAGGTTGGAAGAAAGCTAGGGGCGGCCAAACCAAAACATGGCACAAGTCCATGAAGTCACTGACAAGTGAATTGAGTCATGTTGGTAGGTGTAGACTACCTGGTTGGGGACCGCGAGATGACAGCAACCGATGGTTAGAGACCCTGAATGACATGGCTCACAGTCGTTTGCAATGGCGCAGGTGCATCCACTCTCTGTGTTTTCCCAAATTCTAATCTTCTGAATTCTTCATGTCCCTTTTTTTCCTCTTTCCAAATTTCTTTCACTGGATTATACTCTTTAAATAACATCTCCAAACCCTAATCTTCCCGATTACTGCTTATACTCTTATTACCTCTACCACTACGGGATTTGAATCGACAAGTGCATCTCTGTGCTAATGTGGTGTGGCAACTCGAACTGATGTACGTACGTACGAAGTTCTACGTTGTTACTGACTGACTGACTGACTGATTTGTCGTTCTCACATCCTCTATGGTGTAAATGTAATCGATCTGGTTTTCAGTGTGATCCGGTGAAACACATGTAGCTTTGTGTATTCACATAAATTTCAGACCTCTCATCATTCTCGTTCCTTTCCCCCAGTCTATGTCGTCTCATGATAGCTTCATACTTGATGTTTTTCATTACAACTTAAACGTTCAGGTCTCCCACCAACATGGTCATGTCCTTTCCTGAACACTTCTCTATGATTGACTGCAGCCGTCCGTAAAGTTGACCGTTTTCGTCTTCATTGCTGTCATCGATAGGGGATAGTACTAGATAATATTTTTTGTAATCTTCCCAGTTTTTTTTAAGGCTGTTCTGATGATTGCTGGATTCATGAGATTCCCATCCTATAAGTGTTTATCATGCTTCTTTGGACAGCATCAATTCAACTCCCTGAGTGTGCGAAGCATTTTGTTCTTCGCGACTGGAGTACAACAGCATCTCTCGAATCCTATTTTTTCTATTCAGCCTGCGTTCAATGGGTTTGACCTATTCCGAGCACCTCCAGGTTGTATCTCTTCACTTCCACAGCTATTTGACTAACGCTTCCGGTCTCCTGTATTGTGCAAACATTCCATGTGTTGATTAGTAGTTGTTGTTAGAAGGGACACCGGCCTTGTGACGTTTAAGGAGTCTCGGCTTACACAAGGACGTCATAGCTCCTGTTCTGGTGATGTTTTGTCGCTAGCTTTCTCAACAAAGTTGTTTTCTAAGGGATGATTTTGCTAACCATGTGCTCAATCCTCCTCTTAGAGAGAAAGAACAAATATTGGTGCTCCCTTTAAGATAATAAAGGGAACTATGTGTATGAAATAATCCTCCTTTATCTGGGCTCTGGAATGACAGCAACGCTGGAAAAGCTCTAATCGAAGTTAAACTTCCGTATAGATGGTTTTTATAACCGTTTCACACCTACTGAACCAAACAATCAGGAACTCCATAACTCGATTACTAAGTGGTACTGATTTTCTTCGACGATATGTACAAAAAGTATAGATATAGAACACCTGAATAGTTCTTAACAGTGTCTATGAAGTCAGTCAGTTTCCACAGAGTTGGGTATGTTCACGTTTTCAGTAACAAAATTTATTCCTATCTAGAAAGGAATTTGTTTGGATAATGGGCGATCAAGCAGGAACATTATAATTATATTGGATTCGAGAATTGCGCGATAAATTATTTTTCTATAGCAGTATACATTTAAAACATACAAGGAACGAAGTTTCTATTTTTTTGCGTATTTATTGAACCAAGCAAAATCATCAAAAATTCGATCATTCAACAAAATAGCTGGTATAATATAGGGTTAGGTAAATTCGAACTAAGCACATTCAGCAAAAGACGGAGTAGAATCAAATAAATGATCAAGGCTCAAAACTTGGACAAAATAACAATCTCTTAATGAATCAAGAGTTGAACTCCATGCACATTATTATGGAGGGTTGGGGAGGATAAAACGATATACTCATATGGAAGGATTATCTCACACATGCACGCCTATCTATCTACATAACATACGAAAAGTATTTTACCACGGTTCTTTTGATTTTTCGTTTCACTTGGTGAAATCTAAACTATCACATACTTCTACTTTACTTCAATGCATGTGTTCATCGTGCATGATATAAAGAATTCTTAGAATTCTTTTTTAACATGTATCAGGTTTAATGAAATTTATACCGGTTTTCTTATGTTGCCAACTTTAGTAGACCACATATCTTTATTGCTACGCGGTTTAGATAATTATGTTACTGAGGTTTCGAATTATGATTTCCAGGTATTGTACTGGATTCAGGATTCCTCCAAATACTTTCTTGGTAATTTTAATTCGTCTAAGCATGTTCAAAACCATAAGGTCACAAAATAATCGAGAGGTGGTGGGATTTCATTCACAGCTTCTGTTGATATATCATATACACTGAAGTAAAGAGGTCGGTATCTGGTTTCAACCGATCTATTTATCGTAGCTGCTTTCTTGACGTGGTGATCAGGCTTTCAAATAGTTCTGATTCGATTGAACTTTATTGACTAAAACAGTTATTTCTGTAGGACCTACCATGCTAGGCTGATTGGTTTGAGAACGGTGGATGGATTTATACTGATAACTTTCAAAATAAACTCATCGATGGGTCCAGATTGACCACATTACCATCAGTCGTCTTCAGAGAAGCCTGATATAAGTCTGTCCCCTATTATGGAGAACTTTTAGGCTCTTGATGCTTTAGTATGAGCGCACGTTTGTCTGCGTTTCAACAAAAGCACCAAAGACACAACGGCAAAACTTCGAAGTCCATGTTAACGATAAAATAATCAAGATTATGTTTTTTTATGAACGACTAACATGGCAGTCAATCATCAGAGTGATTTTCATTTCGGTTTAGTCTGGTTTGATACTCGAGTGGCTGTGAAAACAGAATTAAAATAAATGTCTATTGCATTAGTCTACGCTCAAAAACTGATCCCACAAGTCTACTCATCAAACATGGACCGTGGTAGCCAGCGAAACGAAAGGAATTCAGAACTGACGGAAGTAATATACAGCATGAATCACAAACTAACAAATGTTCCCCAATTTCGTACTGTAGAAACATGATCAGTCTAGATGCTTGCCATTTGGTTTACCTTTTCGCGCACATGTAGTGTTCTATGATCCATTAAGCGATCGCTGTTTTGCTCGAGAGTAGTGCAATTTTGGTCATATGTTACTTGATGTAAAGCTAATTATATGTGTTTAATAGGAATTTGGCGTCGTTTTTGTGTTAATGTTGTTGATATACAGTGACAAATAATCAGACCAACTTGAAGGACGTCAATCAACAAGTAATCCTTCACTCCCACTTGTTTTATCGCCTTTCGTTATATTTGCATCTGATTGATTTTCTTTATTTGATTCTTGATTGTAACTCCGAAATTTCACTTCTACAAACAAATTAACTTCAACTTCTAGTTCTTTTTCCATTATATTGTTCTTGGTATTACCTGTTCATGTGTAATTTAATGAATAACGTGAAAGTTGAGTTTTTTTGTATCAAATATTTATTCACGGTCTTATGCTTAGCAGTTGACTCATAGTTTTAATTAAGCCAATTGGTTTGTTTGATAATTTATTTGTCCTGTTTAAAATTTTCATAATTTTCACAGCAACTCAACTACTATATCACCAACGTTACATGAAGATGTTCATAATTCGGTTTTATCGATTAAAGGTAAGCGCCTATGTATGACGGAAAATATGGAAAATTGTTCTCGTTTCCGACTTGTTGAAGAAATTTGATGCATGGAACAACAAATAATACTGATGATCAAATCAAACAATATTTTTGTTGAGATTTATTTTTTCCCGAGCATTTTATTTTTTCTACAAAAGTTCTTTGAGTATTCTGTCTTGTATTTTTTTTAAAAGCTTTTCTGTTTTCTTATTCACAATAGTTCTAACTAGAAGTATGCATAATCTTTTTAAATGACAAATAAAGCGAATTATTCATAACTGATAAAATGACTTCTCAGTTTAATTCGCTTTTCGCAAAACTATGCTTCCTCAAAATGACATTTTTACTGTTAAGGTTTGTCCACAGAATATTTATTACAAAGATGTCGTTAGGTAACATTAAGTTTCACCACTGTGGTAATGAGTACGCTGTCTAGTTTATATACGGTATGTTGTGGGTTGTTTCATTATGGCAGTCCTTATGCTACGGTGTTCAGATAACAAGTGCATTCATACAACTCAGCAATGTAGTAAGAAAATCTCAATGTACGAACTCTGGAGACGTTTACAATCTAGGTAGCTTCATTCAGGTATTTCCTTATAGATGTACAAGTGACTGCATATAAGCAGCGTCTTTCCACAATTTAGAGGATAGTGAGATTGAGATATATCTAAATTAAGGTAGGTTGACTGATGACTCAAGGTACGTTATTATAGGAATTAATTCCAAAGTTGGACTTGGTGGTTTCAAATGAATTGAGCATTGTGCGGAAGGTTGGTAAAAATTATATTTTCGTTATATCCCAAAAGGAAGTTGCATTCCTCACGTTTCATGACATTGTGGGACAATTCCTCATAGTCAGTAAGTCGTCATCGTTGCTCTCTGAAGAGTTCCGGAACAGTTAGCTTACGTTTCACTAAATTGGGCGAAATTAGTGAACCGATAGGATACCATCAAGTGACATGACATGTGTCAGGCAGAATATTTTATGGTGTGTGACCACATGAAAATAGTGTTTATCGGTAAATAAATCCCCAAAATAAATAGCTCTGTAAGTTTTCGACATTGGATGCTGACCACATTGGTTTTATTGGATCCACTTAGCTGAAGGCGCTCGATCATGCATCCACACCAGATCACGAGTGGGAACGCCGTGCTCAACATCCCTTGCAATCGCTAACCAGATTAGATCAGTCGATCCTCAATATATTGATAGTCTATCAAATATATCTTCGAACCTCCTCGCTTCTGTCTTTTCATCTCACTTGGTTGGTACGATTCATATTAGGTGTTACTGGTTAGAGCGTTGTCGAACTCCAAATACATGTGCATCTTCATTGGTGAGCCCGACGTGATCTGGTACACCGAATTGCAAACTGTGAGTTTGCATCTGCCGACCGCATCCCAGATATCACCAAATCTTCTAATACTGAGGTTTTTCAGCCAAAGAAAAACCTCAAAAGACCCAGAATGACATAACCAAATTATGTCATACACTTACACGTTATCTTAGATTTCGTAACGACCGTAAACGGTCACACACCCCTCGAAGAAGCACGTCACGTAAGCGATCTGTCTCTAGACCACGAGAGACGGATAACCACGACTGGTGCTGGTATCATAGCCAGTATAGAAAGTCCTTCAGAAATCGCAGAAAACTCTTCAATTTTCCCAACTCAAAACCGACCGACACGAAAAACAACTCGGGAAACTTCCAAGCCGGCACGCGTTCACGGCGACCGTAGCCGGCAAACATAGCCGTCTTTTATGAGTCACAGATGTGATAATGAAAGTTCGCTCCCTCGTCGATACTGGCGCAGAAGTTAGCATTATTCCAGGGAATCCTAACGACCGGCTTCATGAATCGGTTTTAAACCTACAGGCAGCAAACAGAGAGCCTATCGCTACATATGGTAAAAGGTACGTTTACCTTAACGTAGGTTTACGCAAATCCATTCACTGGATCTTTGTTGTTGCAGGTGTTTCTATGCCAATCATTGGTATAGACCTCGTACAACACCACAATCTAATCATCGATACGCGCAAACGGAGGCTAGTAGACGGAAACACTAATTTATCTGTTTGCTTAACCTCTTTTTCTAGTTGCAGATTATCTCCCGTCACCATTAGGCACACGATAGACCCATCCTATAAACCATTACTCGATACGTATTCTGGGAGATACCAACCGCAAACAAAATTTCGTGCGTAACCAGCAATGTTACGCATCACATCACGACTACAGGACCTCCTGTATTCTCGAAAGCACGCCGACTGGATCCCGAAAAGCTGAGGTTGGCTTAAAGCAAATTCGATCACATGATAGAGGTAGGAATCATTCAACCGTCAAGCAGCCCATGGGCATCTTCATTGCACATGGTTCCTAAAAAGGACAGAAACGATTGGTGTCCAACTGGTGACTATTGGTGATTGAATGCGAAAACCACTCTTGATTGTTACCCGTTGCCTCACATTCACGATTCGACAGCTACCTTGAAAGGTACAACTGTCTTTTCGAAAATCGGCTTGGTTAAAGGGTATAACCAACTCCCTATGGCTACTGACAATATTCCAAAAACCCGCTATTATAACACCCTTCGGACTCTACAAATTTTCGCGAATGCCTTTCGGTCTTTCCAAAGATTCATAGATAACGTTTTTCGAAGCCTCAACTTCGTACATGCGTATGTTGATGACTGCTTAATAGCCATTCCAGACAGCAAATCGCGTCTCTAGCATCTGGATCTTGTGTTCGAACGATTACAAAAACATGGCATCACGGTAAACATTCAGAAATGCAGTGAAAACTGACATTGGGTACACTGCAGCTCAACTGGTTTATGGAACGACACTTCGACTTCCAGGAGAATCCGTGGATCCTTCGTCTTCTTCAATGAACATTGATCTAACCTCCTACACGAACAGGCTTACAAACGCAATGCGTTCAGTTAAACCTATCTCCACTCGACCGCAATCAACTGATGTTTGCGTTCAACCTGACTTACGATATAGTACACACGTTTTCGTTCGTTGAGACTCACATCGACGGCCTCTCGAATCAGCATACAAAGGACCTTTCAAAGTTGTTCAAGGCGAACCGAAGTACTATATAAGTCTGAACTTTTCTGAGCACATTATATCTCAAGTATCCAAAGCTAGAAAGCTGATCGGATTGATAATGATAAACTTTAATAGTATCGAATCGAGATTGTTATTATACAGAAAATGTATCTTACCCATTCTTCAGTATGGTAATTTAGTTTACAGTAATTTCAGACATAATGACCTGATTAAAATTGAAGGTGTTCAAAGAAAGTTCATCAAAGCTGTTCTGGGGTATTCTGATAACAAAGACTATCACCAAAGATATCAACAACTCAACTTAGAACCTTTTTGGATCAGACGTATCAAATTAAATCTTGTCTTTATCTACCGGCTCATTAACGGTATTTCCTACTCTTCGGTATCCACCCTTTCATACCTTATGATATCATCCCACAATCTACGCAATAAGAATATTCTAGCGATTCCAAGAGCCCACACAAACTTACGTCAGAATTTTTTCCTTATTCGCTACTCAACCATGTGGAACAGACTGCCAGTGAACCTCTGTTGCAGTGAAACTACAACCCGGTTCTAAAGTCTCCTTGACGATTTTCTTTCCGAAAGTGGATTATGTCACCTATTGAATATCAATGTATTCAATAATGATTTATACAAACAAGGTCCGTCATCCATTTAATTGCCTGAAAAGCAAAATAAAACCTTCAAGTCTTTTCACGTCTATTTTATTCTATTTCTATTCATCTTAATATATGAAGTCTGCTTTTGTTCGTATCTATAATTATTACTGTTATTAATATCATTATTGTTCCCCCGACACATTAGCTATTCCTTTTATATCTTCTTATCCTTCTTAACATTGTAGCGGTAAATAAATCCCCAAAATAAATAGCACTAAGTTTTCGACATTGGATGCTGACCATATGTTTTAGTGGACTCATCTAACTGAAGGCGCTAGGTCATGCATCCGCACCAGATCACGTGTGGTAACGCCGTGCTCAACATCAACCGCAATCGCTAGCCAGATTAGATCAGAGAATTCCGATATATTGGTCATCGCCAAATATACTCTTCCGATCTCCTCGACTCTGTCTTTTGATTTCTCTGGGCGGGAACGAAATACATTAGAAGGTGTTACTGGTAGAAGCGTTGTCAAACACTGAATACCTGTGACAATATCATTGGTGAAACCGACGTGATCTGGTACACCTATTTGCAACTGTGAGTCTGTTCCTTTTTGGGATTTTTATATATCATTGCCTTATTTATTTTATTTTTTTAAACATTGTGATTTTTTTTCGTGTTTTTTTTCTTGGATATATATATTTTTTCACCTCGTTCATTATCGTACTTCATACTTCATCATGACCGAACAGACACCTAAAGTACTCAAGCTTAAGACTTTGTCCCCGCCTTCGTTTCAACTGATGCCTTTCTGGCCCGACAACATCGAAGCCTGGTTTTGCTACGCAGAAGCCGACTTCTCCGAGCACGGCGTGAGCGACACACGTGCACAATTCCTCGCAGTAGTCAGGGCACTACCGCGCGAATTCAACAGGTACGTAACACCTAGTATGTTTACTAGTGATGTTTCCGATCCTTACGAAATCTTAAAACGCTCGATTCTTAATCGAGGAGACCTGACCGATCGACAAAGCTTAGATCAACTCCTCAATAACATCGACCTGCAACACGGTTCTGCGACGGACATGTTGCAAAGAATGAGAGAGGTAATAGGCCCAAGAACTTTCGACGAAGGTCTATTCAAACAACTCTTCTTGTCAAAACTTCCCCAACAGGTGCAAGCAATTCTGGTCTCGTTCCAGAACAACGCCTTAGACGAGCTAGCTGCATCTGCCGACCGCATTTTAGAAATTACGAAATCTACTACCGAGGTATTTTCAGTCAAAGAAAAACCTCAAACGACTCAGAATGATATAACCGACTTATGTCACACACTCACGCGTTATCTTAGTCTTCGTACCGACCGTAAGAGATCGCGCACTCCACGTAGAAGCATTTCACGTAAGCGATCTGTCTCTAGACCACGAGAGACAGATAACCCCGACTGGTGCTGGTATCATAACCAGTATGGAAAGTTTTCCAGAAATTGCAGAAAACCCTGCAATTTTCCCAACACGAAACCGACTGACTCGAAAAGCAATTCGGGAAACTTCCAAGCCGGCACGCGTTAACGGCAACCGTAGCCGGCGAACAAAG